GCACCCCTGTATAACCCGACCTGGCACCGCTGTATAACCCGGCCTGGGCACCCCTGTATAATCCGATCCTGGGCACCCCTGTAACCCAGTTCTGGGCACTGCTGTGACCCCACCCTGGGCACCCCTGTATAATTCGACCCTGGGCATCCCTGCCCGTGCTGCAGGAGCGTTGGTTTGGTGCTCTTTGCACCTTGCTGGCACGTCTTGGACCCTGCTGGCAGCTGTGCAGAAATGCACAGCCTCCGCACAAAGTATCTTTGAGAAAACCCCGACAGGTTCCGGGTTTGACATGTAGCCATCAAAGCGACACATCCACAATGCGGCCTCTTGGAAACTGTTGCTGTTCTGGAACTCAAAGAGCACCGAGATCATAAAAGATATTTTTCATCTTCAGTTACTCATCCGTTCAATTTTTTTTTTTCCTATGGATTTTGTAGACTTGAACCACAGGGGTTCCTATTTTTCTTTAAGATTTAAAAACTTTGACAAGAACAAATGTCCTCCTGTTGCCCGTAACAAAGACACAAACCAACTGAGTGCCGGTTTATGCGGTGCTTTATTCGGGCCCGGGAACCTGAGGACTAGCGTCCCAAGCCAGGATTCCAAAGACCCTCATTTTTCGTACATCTTTTATACTCTCACACAAACATGTCTACGTGCAATTTCTACGTGAAAGCAGTTACACTTAGTTACCCACAAACTCATATTTCATACTGATATCAATTGATAATCATCTACTCTAATCATAAATCTGCTTAAGTTGTCTTACACCTAGAAACTGTTTAACAGACCCTTACCACATCCAAGGTAACAAATCATTATATACATGCTTGACTAAATCCTTTGATTATTGTTTCCACTTCTTCAGTACATTCCATGCTCACAAGCAAGGTTGCTAACTTACTACTTTGGAGTGTTGCTTTCTAGGCCTACTCTCTTACTAAGCCTTAGCCATTCTACTACTAAATTTAAATTGCTCTGTAACACTCCTGTGAAGTTTGGCCAAAAACAGGAACAGGCCACAGTCACTGGCAGAAATAGCTGCAATCCCTCACACTACACATATCAGCAACGAAATGGTCCTGCCCCAATATATGAGCCCTTCTAGCAAGAAAATCACTGCCAGCCTCCCTGTATTTGTATAGTTAGTAGTGTTTGTATAGTTAGTGCCTTTTGGAAGCAAGCTCTCATATCTGAAGTGTTATAAAGCGGTTTCTGTTTATTTATAGCTTTTACCAGAGAGTCAAATGGAGGAGAATAAATAACAGAAAAGAATAACCAGGGAAAAGGTAGGCTTTTCTTCCTCATATAACCCTTCAATTAAGTTTTCTCCTTTGATCCAGGTTCTTAATAATTTTTACACAGGTGGATATATTAAATGAAAATAATACTATAATTGTTTTAATTCTTAATCCAGTGTTCTTTTTTCTCCTCCAAAAATGTGTGATGGCCCAAATTAAACCATTTCTTAGCCTTTCATCCTCCAGTTTTAAGGAGTTTTCTCCTAATTGCCTATCCCATTCCTAAACAACGAACAGGAGAATTTACAGCTAAAGATGAGCACTGGGTTGGAAGGAGCCCTGCTCCTGAGGCATCACCAGTTCTCAGAAATCAGGTTTGAACTGCTTACCCTTAGGCACAGAAATACTGGCTGATTTAAAAGCTGCTGGTCTAGCTGGGAGAGCTGCATCACCTCCTTGACTTTTACTTTATTTGGAAAAGCTTCTCTTTATGTCAACTTCTTTTATCAGATACAAATCTGAACCCCACTGTCACCTTGCTGTGGTCAGAACAGAGCTAATGCTCTGAGCAGCTTAAATTTGACCAAAGCTGCCAATCAGTCCTCCTGCACTTGAATGCAGAATTTCAACATTCATATTTTTTTGTCTAGCATGCAATTCTTAGTTCTGGGGTTGTTTTTTCCTCTTTTATTTTTAGATAAGATTATAAAGTGTCAGGTGATTCAAGTCACATCAACACTTATACAGTGACGATTTAAAAGAACCATTTTATCTAAGATACTAATAAGAAACATCGAAAACATAGAACTAAACGTGCTATTCTTGGAACTGAAAAAATAGCTAAGAGACACAATGGCAACTTTTATTTTGTTGTATAGAAGTGATGAAAAAAACTCTGGGATTGAGCCTCTGAAAATATGAAGCACAAATTTAAAGAAGTGATATACGCAAGTGAATACGCAACTCACTGACAAGTTTTCAGTTAAGCAGTTTGAGGAGCTCTCTTGTTTTTAAAAACTCCAGTTTGAGAGAACAGAACGTTTTTAAAGATCTGACAAATCTGAGAGACAAAGAAGCATTCTCCATCTGGTGACGTGTCCCGTGACTCCCCGCCCCACGGGAGGTACTGGGCGTTCCCACCTGAGCCCGAATGTATGTAACTCCTGAGATCTTTGAGTTTTGAGGGGAGGAGAGGGCTTCCCCCAAACGATCAAGACCATCACTTGGACAGGACTGTGACCACCATCTTCAACCAACAGAACACTGAAGGTGCAACTACCAAGTTTCATCGCTGGATCCAGTGAGTGGTGACTACATATATCTTTCCATTTTTATCCTTTCTTTCTCTTCCTTACACATTTCCTTAAGTGTTACTTTTATGCTTTAATATTGCTGTATTACTTTAGATGATAAGAAGCAAAACGGCTACACACCTGTTTTCCTTTGAAACAAAATTGCTCTAAAATAAACCCTACATATATATTGACAAACACCGATCATTCAGTGTCGTTTCACTTTAATCCACCCCAAGGAATTTATTAACAAGAACCTGGGTTACCCTCCCCTTCTGGGGCGGGTCGTATCAAGTCCAGCCATCAACCCAGTACCACCATTAAACCACGACCTCAAGTGCTACACGTTTTATGAACACTTCCAGGGATGGTGCCTCCATCACTTCTCTGGGCAGCGTGTTCCAATGCTTTACAACCCTTTCCGTGAAAAAAATTTCCCTAATATCCCATCTAAACCTCCCCCGGCGCCACTTGAGGCCGTTTCCCCTCGCCCTGTCAATGCTCCCCTGACACGCTGCCGTATCAGGCCGCGCCGGGAGCCGCCGGATTTCCAACACTCCCAACCGGACCGTGACGGTGCCGGGCCCGGGCGGGGAAGGCGAGCCCCGGCGGGGCAGGGTGAGCTGTCCGCGGGGCAGTGCTGCTCCCGGGCCGCCCTCGACAGCTCCCGGGGCCGCGGCCCCGCGCCGGTACTCGCTGGCCCCGCGCCGGTACTCGCTGCCCCCGCGCCCCCCGCCGCCGCCTCACCTGCCGCGGCCGCTGTCCGCGCGTCCGTCGCTGCCGGGCGGCACAAAGGGAGCCGCCGGAGCCGCCGGTGCCGCCCGCGCCGGAGGGGCGGTGACCCCGCGGGCGGGGCCGCCCCGCGCTCGCCCGGCCGGGAGGTGCCGGAAGTGGCCGGAAGCGGCCGGAAGTGGCTCCCCCGCCCCTTGGCCGCCATGGCGCCTGTCTCTCGCTCCCGCTCCCCGCCCGCCGCCAGCCCCGAGCGCCGCGCCCGCCGATCCCGATCCCGGTCCCGCTCCCGGGAGCGCAACGTCCCGAGGCGCCCGAGCCACCGGCGGAGCCGCAGCCGGTCGCGGTCGCGCAGCCCCGGCCCGCCGCGCTCCGCCGCGCACCACGGGCACCACCACCATGGCAAGGGCTGGCCCGAGTACTACGAGAAGGAGAAGGAGGAGATCCTACGGCAGAGGCAAGCGCTGGGCCGGGTCGGGGCTGTCCTGCCGGTTGCCGGCGGGGTCTGGGGGTGCTGTGGAAGGGCGGCGGGCCCGGCGCTGCGCGGCCCGGCCACGGGTCTCGGCCCCTCCGGACGCTCCCCCGGCCGTGTCCGCGGGCAGGGCCGGGCCGGGGCTCGGCTGGGAGGGGGTAACACCTCTGCAGTGGGGGGCACTTCTGCCAGCCCCTCGGCCTGGGAGTTGGCTCCTTGCACCTGGTTTTTTCTTTTCCGTACTGCGATTAACAGTGGTGACAAGTACTAAATTTAAAGTGGTTATGTACTGGGTGTGGCACGCAAGGGCTCAGTGAAGGTGTTTTCCTTTACAGGAGACTCAATGAGAGAGAGAGAATTGGAGAGCTGGGGGCACCTGAAGTCTGGGGGCTGTCACCAAAGGTTCCTGACCCCGAGTAAGGCTTATTCTTTCTTCTTTTCTTCTGTTTTTTATGTTAGTTTAATTTACAAAAATGCCTTATCCCTGCGGTAGTCCCATTGCCACAATTCTTGTTGTATCAGGTAACTTCTGAATCAACATAATATGAGATTATTAGTTTTTCCCCCCAGGTAATTCCAATATGTGATTTATTGTAGATCAATAAATTGCTTTACAGATATTGTGACCTTTGTGTTGTGGTTCTGAAAGCAGTTCCCATGCTGAAAATTAACCCTTTAATAGTTTGCTTCATTGCAAGTATTGACTCAAAACCTGCAAGCCTTTGGTCATATGTGTATCTTTGATCTTGAGTACTACAAAATAGATCTTAAATAGCAAACTGTTCTTTTTATTCAGTTCTGATGAGCATACACCAGTAGAAGATGAAGAGGCAAAATCGAAGAGTAGTTCTTCGGATTCCAGCTCAGAAGGTATTTTGTTTGGCTTACACAGCTTGTTTTGAAAATGGGAAGCTACTGAAGTCTAGAATCTGCTGCAGTTACTTGCTGGAAGGTTACTGGTTTTGCTGGCTGGAAGTGAGTGGGCTCCAGTTCAAAGGAGAGCATTACCTTGGGAAGATTGGGAAGTACATATGGAGCTAGTTGATTGATCTCTGATGTTATATTTTCAAAACATTCTAGAGGAAAAGAAGAAAAAGAAGAAGAAAAGAAACAAGAAAAAACGTAAGGCATCCAAAAGAAAGCGCAGAAAACATTCTGAGGACAGCGACAGTGAGTCGGAGTCTGAGCAGAACTCCAGTGGTAAGACAGGAGGGTTTTGGCTGGTGTGTGAGGGCTGAACACAAACTGACACTTCTGGCTTTTATTGCATGCTTGTAGTGTTCTGAAGTTACAGAGCTGCAGCATCAATCCATGGTCTTTTCTTTCACCATCTTGATGGGTTTGTAGTGCCTTTTCCTTGAGTGCTTGAGGTCTGGCCTCAGGAAATGGGATTTCTGAGTTAAGCATCCATTGGGTATCTCATCATAGAGATCTGTTTGAGATGTTCTCATATTCATCAATACTGCAGGAGCTTTCTACTAATGCTTTCTTAGTATTGCTTGATATCTAAACAGTCATGTCTGAGAAGCTCTGTGTGTACTAGGGCATTCTGGTGGAGGCAGTTCAGTATAATAAACTACTTAGTTATAGCTAATCATCTCTTTTTGGTAATGAAATACTTCATTTTTTTTTCAGATGAAGATAAAAAGAAAAGCAAGAAGAGGAAAAAGAAGAGCAAAAAGTAAGTGCCCACTTCCTTCACAGGCTCTGAGGGTGTCTGAGCACTCTGGTAATTCAGGCTGCAAGTGCTGACAAGTAATATTAATTTGATGGATTTTCTTTGAATCAACAGAATCGTGCAGCATAGACAACTCCCTGCAAGTGTAGAGCCACTTTCTAATGCTCTGTGTGAAAGGTGTAACATTGTCTTGGCTTTGCTGTAAGGTGTTTTCTATAAAACAACAATCTGTATGCAGCCAGCCAGTCTTCCCATAAGTAGAAATTACCTTGAGGAACTAATTATTTGAGTATGATTCCAAGCAAATTTTGGTAAATAGTATGTCTGTCTGACTTTATCACAGGAAGAAGTATAAGAAAAAGAAAAATAAGAAGAGCAGGAAGGAATCCAGCGATTCCAGTAGCGAAGATTCTGACAGTGAAACAGTTCAAGGAGATGACCTCTGGATTGAGAGATCAAGTAGGTTCACCTGACTTTAAATTTGGATTGAAACTTTTTAGTGTCCTTTTTGTGAATTCTCTTAGGTCTCGCTGACCTGTGGAACACTTCTGATAACAAAGAACAATGGGCACAATATCAACCTTCCTCATTGTTTGATTGTTGCAGAAAATACCGAAGCTGATAGCTTGATTGGACCAGAGGCTCCCAAAACTCATGCATCTCAGGATGACAGGCCTTTGAAGTGAGTAGCCAGCTCTAACGGTGCTTTGATCAAATCAGGTAAATCAAGCATGAAAGTTACTGATCAAAAGGGCTGTTACAACAACATGGCATGCAGAGGGAGAAATGCTGTGCCAGAAACTTGCAAACAGAAGTGCTAGTGGTGCTAGCCTTTCCCCTGGCCTGAATTTGGGTAGAAAAGTCTGGTTTATGCTTCTTAGTCTTGCTTCCTAGAAAATCAGTTGTAAGGTACCTTTATTCTAATGCTCTGCAGTGTTGCGACTTTGTAGTGCCTTCTTCATTGTTTAATCAGAATGGACACAACTGGTAATTTAAGATGTTTTTGCTGGTGTTAGCCATAAGGAAAGAACAGGCCAATATGTGGGAAAGAATAAGAAAGTGTTTAAAAAAGCAGCTGTATCTGGTAGTGAACAGGGAAGCTGGACGTTTAGCTCAGGCTCTCTGTGTTTGAGACTGCAATCCTCCCTTTTTTTTTTTAGCTATGGACACGCCCTCCTGCCTGGTGAAGGTGCAGCAATGGCAGAGTATGTAAAAGCAGGAAAACGTATTCCCCGGAGAGGCGAGATTGGTTTAACCAGTGAAGAGATCGCATCGTTTGAGAGCTCTGGTTACGTCATGAGTGGCAGCAGGTATGGTTTTGATGATGGCAGTGGTTCAGTGACGTTTTCAAGAGCTGCTTTCTCTGTTGGCTGAGTGGAAGACCGCTTCCAAGCTCTAGTTGAAAGTGTGGAGGAGAAGGTGCTCTGCATGCTTGCAGTAATCTACACCAAACTCCCCATTGCTGTAGACAGAGGGTGAGGTTTTCAAGGATGCTTTCTCCTCAAGAGCAAAAGTTCTTTCCAGGCAATATACTTCTAATTATCTTTGTTTCAAATGAGGAGATGCTTGTGCCAGGTGGTGTGTTTGGACAGCCCTGGTGATGTGCTGGCCAGTAGGAAACAAATCAAAGTGTGAGAGGTTGGCTGCACTTTTTACTCTATGAGTCCTCCAGGAATTTCACTTAAATTTTGGTGAGCCAGCAGCTGACACCGTGGGGGTAGGTGGGACTTCTGGCTGACTGCCTGAGAGCAGACACGCCCAGAAGTGAGTTCCTTGCTCTGCCACACTCCTTCTTGGGAAGGTTTGTGTGCAAGTTTGGATTCTGTAGTGCAGGTATCTTTATTTAAAGCCCCTGAAAACATTCGGGCCAGTTGATGGATGGAAGCTGTACCAGGGCAGTCTGGCCATGATGACACACACCATGTTCCCCCCCACAGACACCGGCGCATGGAAGCCGTGCGTCTGCGCAAGGAGAACCAGATCTACAGCGCGGACGAGAAGAGAGCCCTGGCCTCCTTCAACCAAGAGGAGAGGAGGAAACGAGAGAACAAGATCCTCGCAAGCTTTCGAGAGATGGTCTACAGAAAAACTAAGGGCAAAGAGGAGAAGTAATGCTTCGTTTGAGCTGTGCACCACAGACTGTACCACGCAGCAGCTGACCTGTTCCAGTCGTGATTTGAAAAATGCTGCAGGTGCTGCAGCGCCTTTCACCCAACAGGGCCGGGCCCCAGGAGTGGATTACTTCTGTCAAGAAAACAGAGTTACTTTCATCAGATTCTCTAGGGTGATTTTGTTCACCATCTACAAGGAATCCCTGTAAAGTGAAAGGCTAGAAGGCAGGAACAGACAGGGAAGATGGAGAGGTGTCAAATGTTCTGCGCTTGCTTTGAAGCAGACAAGCAGGAGGATCCTGTGGGAAGGGCTTTGTTACATAATACCAATGTGTCATTTTTTTTTTTATTCCATTTATTTTGATTTTTCATAGACTCATTTAGCTTGGAAAAGACAGTGAACAAGCTACTACTAACAGCAGCAAAAATGAAGGAACTCCTGAGTTCCTGTTTAAGATCTAGGACTGTCCACTATTTCTTCAGAAGTCTTTTTAGATTTAGGTTTTTCTCAAAACAGTGAAGTTTGGTTTGTGGTTCAAACTAGACTTGTAAATATTCTGTAAATGAGTTTGTAATTTAATACAGATGGGCTTCAGTTACTTTAAAGCAAGCAGATTGCAATTGGGGTGTAAAGCAACAGTAGCAGGAGGGTCTGCTCTTCACTGAAATCTGTGGTGAAGAACAAAGTTGCTTGCTTCTTTTTCTCCTATGTTATACATAGGCATTAGAGCAGTGGGGTGCAGTGATTGGAACCCCTGGATGTATACAGTGGCAACAAGAATGTGTCTTTCAATTTATTTGAAATGTTTATGTTTATGAAAGTGTTCTAGATTAAAACCTTATTTTAACTCCGGTAGTGTTTTAATTTGGTCTGTTTCAGCAGCATTACATGGTTTGCTTTAAGCTCTGTACTTGGAGGCCTTGTTCAAGCAGTGCTTATGTGGTGATTACCTTTGATTCAACCACATATTTCCAAACATATCTCCTTTGAACTTGTTTTTAAAAACACTTGAGAAAAAGAAAGTGTTTTTGAGAGGGCTTTTGTTCCCCTAAATCCTTTTTTTATTTTTTTTTTGTTCCCTTAAGTTGGGCAGCAGAGATGTCTCGTATATTGGTGCAAAGAAGATAAAAGCCCTAAAGTCCTATAATGTTTTCCCTATAGTTCCACAGACCAGCAAATCCCCCCCAGCTGTCTCTTCCCATTTACACTCTGGAACCTGGTTCCATCCTGGTGTACCCACCCATACCTGCCAGCAACTGTCCCATAAAGCCAACTGCCATGTCAGGGCATTGTTGATTTGGCACAGGTTCAATGCTTTTTATGTATCCACAAAGCAGAAATGCTGCTAAGGAAAAGCCTTTCTTTCTCCATTGTGTTTATTTGGTTCTCCAAAACGGAGCATTGGTGATGGTGAATTGGAGCTGCTCATTGGGAACTGAGTCTTTCTATGAGGATTATTTTATTTTCAATAATGTCCTGAAGCCACTTTTCTCTAAACTGACACTCTTCTGGCCTGGAGGATGGAATAAAAAGAGGGTAAATTGTAAGAATAATATTGAATCCAAGTTTGGCCAGCTCAGAGCTGGCCTTAAGTCACCAGGCAAGCCTATCTGCTGCAATAAAGACCATGCTTAGACCTGGGTAAGCAGGACATATTCCTCCTGGAGAAGGCAGATGGCCATGGGGTGGCTATCCATGCTTGTGGGGGAGTGAAGCTAATAATAAGCAAGGTCATTTCATTTTGGGTAGCAAAATTTTGACAGCTTCTTCCACCTCCCTGATGTGACTGCAAACTTACTTACATGGAGCTCCCTCTGGTTTTGGCATGGAAAAGCTTGCTAGAACCTCCTGAGTTGTGTCAGTGACAGAAGAGTAATGACATTTACCTGCGAATCAGCCTGCTGGACTCCAGTCTGAAGAAAACCTCCACAGGCGAGGTCTGCAAGAGAGCAGAGACAGGGCAGAGGTCACCTACAGCCCCTCAAAGAGCAGGCATTGTAGTTAGGTAAGAGCTACTATCTATTTCTTCAAAAATAATCTGGATATTTGTACAACATTTCTGACGCAGATTAGAATAGTTTTAGTTTAAAGCTTCTGTGAGTATTTTCTTGTAAAGGAAAAGCCTCATAAGTTACAATTCTAAGCGTGTGGGATGATGTAAGATTTCTGACCAGCTATGGGCTGTTGTGCTGGTTTTGACTGCCTCAGGAATCCCTGTGCTCTTTTCCCTTTAAGGACTGGTGTGTGTCATTTCTGAGTACTTACGTCAGGTTTGAGTTTGGAGATCACTATAACAAAGTAGACACTTGCTGTTGCTCGTGGGATGGGTTTTCTGCGTGTTGGGATGCCCCAGCAAGCTCTGTAATGGTACCTCTTGCTGTCCTTCAGTTCTTCTTCCTCAAGAAATTCTGAGTGGTGAAGCCAGCTTTCGTGAATGTCCCATGTCTGTCGAACAAAGGCATCACACTAAGATTCCCTCTGTCTGGTAGAGGTGACTTGAGGACAGTGCTAAAAAGGAACCAGAGGTGCTGTCCTTAAATTTTTCACACTTCTTAACAGTGAGGTGTGACCTTCCCGAATGGATGGAATTGTCACTCACAGAAATGAGCTCTTCAATCTGCTGCCGCCCTCTCTCCACTGTGAAGTTGTTGCCTGTGGTCCACTGGATAGTTTTGATAACACGCTTGGCTTCTAAAACAAATAAAATGCTGACAAATCCTCCTGGGGAAAAAAAAAAGGCAACAAAACAACACATGCTAATAGAGCAAACACAATACCTTTTTCCTTTTTCTTCAGCTCTGTACTGCTTCTCTCATTGACTGGGGGTGTGTGATCTTTGTCCTCTTCCTTGTCCATCGGCTTCACCTTTACAGAAAGAAAAGCACAAACACAGTGAGATAGAGCCGGCCCGAGAGCTGCAGGACCATCAGAGGAACACGGAGAGCACTGGCCCCTCGTCCCCGCTCACCCCCCTCAGCGCTGCCCCGGCCGGACGGAGGGTCCCGGGGCTTTTTTATTCCAGGGAAGGTGTCCAGCCCCGAGGAGCTGCTCCCGGGCCCCGGCGGTGTCCCTGCCGCTGTCCCGGCTCCTCGGCCACGGCAGCGTTCTCGCGTCACCATGGAGAGGCGGGGCCGCTTCCCGGCATCCCAGTCGGCATTCCCTGCGGACACACCGACCCCGGGCAAATGCGTCCCCAGCAGCCGCAGTCTTCCGGAAAAGGAAGACTATGGCCAGGAAAACAGCTGTGGGATCCTGCCAGATTCTCTGTTTGTCATGTTTCTGCCGGTGTCGGCAATGGGGGAACTAAAGCAGCCTCCGCTCTGTGCTGGGCGGAGTCTCAGCCCAGCCCGGCGCACAGAGGGCTGTAGTCTCCCAGCCCTTCAGAGGGAAAGGACCAACAGAGAGAGGCCAGAAATGTTTTAGCATATCACAGTGTGCTGAATTCACAGCAGCTGCTCTTCCAGAGTGACAAAAGGCTGCTACATGGATTCAGCTGCTAGATCAATAATGAGCAAAGTGTAGGTCCTAGTCCTTGTGGTCTCATAGATGCTTCGTGTCCAGCTGAGAGAGCATTAATACAAGCCTGGACATTTCTCAGAAATTTGTCTGATCCATGTGACTCTGCACCTTGTTCCCTCCACATTGTTTGTGGTCATTCCATGCCCCATGGGGATCAATGTTGGTGGCAGTGACACAAGATCTGTGTTTCACTCTGACTGCCACTCCAGAACAAGGAGATAAGTAACAGGCATCGTTATAGCAGGTTCAGGATGCAGCAGAGGCAAGTTTTGGCTTTATTGTAAGTTGAGACTGCTGATTAGTGCTATGCTGGGAGGGAAGAATCCAAGCTGCAGGAGGTGACACTGGCTATTCATGCAGGCTGCTGCAGTCAGCAGCAGGGAACTGCACATCAGAGGTGGGTGTGAAAACAGAATCAGTCTTCCTGGCATTCGTTTTCCTCCTCTCACAGACAGCTGCCTGGTGTATATCAGAGCACATAAAGTGAGGAAACCAGTTCTGTCCAAAGCTTTTATGCGACTTATGCAGCTCATATGCACTTCTGGGATAAGAGATTTAAGAAGGGGGAAAAAAACTTGCAGTTTCAAGACTGCAGCTGGAGAGGAGTGAGGATACGTGGGAGGAACAGCTCTGCAGACACCCAGGTCAGTGAAGAAGGAGGGGGAAGAGATGCTCCAGAAGCTGAAGTAGAGATTCTGCTGCAGCACATGGAGATCCACAGGGGAGCAGAGATCCACCTGCAACCCATGGAGGATCCATGCCAGAGCAGGTGGAAGTCCAAAGGAGGCTGTGGCCCCCATGGGAAGCACACACTGGAGCAGGCTCCTGGCAGGACCTGTGAGCCCATGGAGAGAGGAGCCCACGCTGGAGCAGGTTTGCTGGCAGGCCTTGTGCCCCAGCAGGGGATCCACGCTGGAGCAGCCTGTTCCTGAAGGACTGCACCCTGTGGGAGGGACCCACACTGAGCAGTTTGTGAAGAAGTGCAGCTTATAGGCAGGACTCACAGTGGAGAAGTTTGTGGAGGACTGTCTCCCATGGGCAGGACTCAAGGCTGGAGCAGGGGAGTAGTGTGAGGAGTCTTCCCCTGAGGAAGAAGGAGCAGGAGAGACACCACATGATGACATTCACCACAGCCCCCATTCCCTGTCACCCTGCACAGCTTGAGGGCATGAGGTAGAGAAAATTGGGAGTGAAGTTGAACCCAGGAAGAAGACAGGGGTGGAAGGAAGGTGTTTCATCATTTGGTTTTATTTCTCATTATCCTGCTCTTATTTGATTGACAATAGATTAATTTCCCTGAGTTGAGTCTCATTTGCCCTTGACAGTAATTGCTGAGTGATCTCTCCCAGTCCTTATTTCCACCCATGAGCCTTTCATTATGTTTTCTCTCCCCTGTCCAGCTGAGAAGGGGAGTGACAGAGCAGCTTTGGTGAGCACCTGGTGTCCAGCCCCAATCACTCCACCACAGCAACACAGGTACAAGGGCTGAACACACATATATCTTTATTTAGGAGTTAAATCATTCTCAATAGATACGTGGATTCTTCAAAGTGCTGCCACCTTTGTCTATGTTCTCCAGACCCTAGAAAGAAAAAAAATAACAGCTATATCTGCATCATTCTTGCCACTAATGTGCAACAGGGCATAGCTGAAAACGCCAGTTTTCAAACTACACCTAA